ATTTCAAATAAATATGTTGATTTAGCCCTTTGCTTTTGTTTTCTTCTTCCCGTAATTAACAGTAATTTTGTGTGAAACAAATGGCACATGCCCTGATTTACAGATTGTATGATAAAGTTCTTTAATATTTATTAGCCTTACCTTGTTACATCTTTTTCACTTTCTGAATTTCTTAAAACTTATGCTTAAGTCTGTATAGCTAAAATTACTTGATTGCAGTTACATGTTGTTTTACATTTATTTTTTGTTTACATATGTTTGTATTGTCTGTCTTTTTTCCTCCCTGTTAGCTTATAACCTTTTCACATTTTCTGTCCTTCCCTAATTTGAGTGAAATATTTGCATTTTTAATAGAGCAAATTTTAAAAATACCAACTTGGTAAATCAAATAAATGCAACTAAATTTTTTAAGAACATGAAAACCAAATGCCATGTAACTTTACTAATACAATAAAATCACTATTAGGATGATATTCAGGGAATATAATGACTTGCTTATCCAGAAAGATGCTGACTAGTCTTATCATTGTCAGTTTCTACGTAAAACTTTTAAAATATGAAAAAATGTAAACACTAATATCTAGATCAGTGCTCTCTAATAGAAATATTTGCATGTTGGATGTGTTCTATAACTGCACTGTCAAATATGGTAGTCAGTAGCCACATGCGGTAGCTGAGCATTTGAAATGTGACTTGCGTGACTGAGGAACTCAATTTTTAATTGCTTTTAATTTTAACAATATAAATCTATATTTAAATAATGATTCCAGAACATAAAATCCTAACATAGAAAATAGATGGGAAAGAGTACTGTATATGGTGGTATGCCATTAGCTTTTGTATCTAGTAAGGCTTTTTAGTCTTATTTGGTGAGAGAATAAAAGGAATAAGAAATCCTCTTATAGTACAACCCATTTCTAACATGTTTTGTTTTAGTGGAGTTAGCTTTAACACACATCAAATTATATCCTTGAAATATGAATGCAGATGATAAAAAGCAATTTAACAGTCCAAAACTACTCTATTAGTAGTTTTATGAAGACTTTGCATTGCATATGTATATACTATATACCAGTGGGCCCCCAGGAGATTGTGGATCACAGTGTGACACTGTGTGAGCAGCTCTTGACAAAACATACATAAAATTACATTCAGACTAACAATGAGGATAACTTTAAAAGGGGAAAAGTAAATCATGAAAAAGTTAGCTTATTGTCTTGGAAATGGGTATGGTAGGAAAAAGGAACTTTACCTTTTTGAAAAGTTATAGAGAGAAGCAAATTGTAGGTGTGATTGCATGTACTATGTGTCTGTTCCGGGAGTAAAACTACATGGTTTGAATTCCAGCACTACCACATACTAGAAAAATGAAATTGGGGGAGTCCTTTAACCTCACAAAATGTGTTTTCTCATCTGTGAAATGGGGATAATTATAATGCCTACTTCACAACACTGTAAACAGGATTATAAAATGTAATGTACTGAACACTGTACACATAGTACATTTTCAACGAATGTTAACCATTACCATTGTTGTACACTGTGTCTTACAGAGTCAGTCTTGTAACTGTGTGGTCAGGCTTAGTTTAAGAATTAAAAACTTGCTGATCTCCCACCTGGAGGAAACAGGATTAAGACCTAGGTTTTTTTTTTAACCAGTATGTGATAGATTATTTGAGCCGTAGATTGTTGTATAAGCTTAGAGAATTTCTTCTCTTTTTTTATTTTTTGGAGAATTTCTTCTTATTCTAAAATTGGCACATGTACAGATTATTTTTAATCTCCTTTTATTTTTTTTCTAAATAAACAACAAATTAAACAAAGTCTAAAGAAAATAGTAATGTATAAAGTAAAAAAGTTCCTTTTCTGTTGCTTCCACGTATCTGCTTATGTCTGTTTCTCACTTATATTCACGTTGAATCTTGGCCACCCATTTTCACCACTGATAGTGTTTGTTTATTTTTATATCCTATATCACATTTTTCTTGAGTCCTACATATATCTGTTTTTCAGATTGTAAAACTAGCTATTTATGGCATGCTGCCAAAAAACCTTCACAGAAGAACGATGATGCAAAGGTTGCATCTTTTTCCAGATGAGGTAAGTCAGTGGTCATTGATAATGATGATTTTCCTAAATTCTCAATTAAATATTTTCTCTCCTTTTGAAGTAATTGCCGTAGGTTTATTTTCAATAATGTTATGTCATGTGAAATATTTTTGTATTTTTAAAGTGTGTATACACATACACACACACGAGGGAACTTCAAACAGTTCATGGAAAAATTCGTATTATCTTTTAACTTCTATTTTTCCACTAACTATTTGAAGTACCCTCATATGTATAATATTACTGATAATTGTTCCTATTTTAAACTATAAAATTAGCCATCATCAGACTAAAAATCAAAAGTCTGTTTTTCCATTTGATAGCTGCTTCTTTTAAGCAAAGAACTATAACCCTTTTGTTAAATTGAGGTACTCACTGATAGTTTCGTCAACTATGAAAAAAGATTGATCTAGTTCACGTTTTGTAATGACCAGTGGCAAAGCTTCTATGAATCATGTATTAATAACTTAACTTTGGTTGCTATAAGCACTTAGCTTTTCTCTTTAGTATAATATAATGAAATTCTAGAGGTTCTATAATAAAACAGTTTAGTATAGGCTCTGGAATCAGACTGCCTGGGTTTGAGTCCTTGTTTCTCCATTTACTGACTGCATGGACATGGGCTAAAAACTCATTATCTCTGTTTTCTCAACCATGAAATGGACATAATAATGTACCTACTTCATAAGCTTCTTCTAAGAATTAAATGAAATACACTTGTAGAGCACTTTTAGAAGAGGGCCTGGCACAATAAGTGCTAGTTGCTGTCATCACTGTGGTTGTAATTGTTGTGCTTATAGTTCCTCCTGGAGGAAATATGTAGAAATTCATGCCAGGATGTCAGGATATAACAATTCTTCTAGCTATTTGTGTGCTCTATTGTTAGCTTAAACAATACATGAGTAACTATTCATGTTGACTAAATTATTCATGCTTTTATCAAAATGATTAATTTATTCTTTGCTTTTCATAAATGAATATAATTTTCCACTATTCACTTTATCTCTGAGGTAAAATGTACAGGAGCAGTATCATCATCTAAGGATAAATGACCTTCATGAAATCACAAGAATTTAAAGACCCCTATTTCTGATTGTACTGTCACATTTTTAGAAAGAATAATTTCTAAAAAACACAAAAATAATAATGTTATTTATTCTAGTTACAGGGTAGTCACATTTGAGTGTGGATATTTTACATATTCATGGTAATTCTGTTGAATAGCTAATTTCTTAAATAATTTCAGACTAAAATAAATGAGCCCATTTCCCCAAAAATGAATTGGTAAATATTCAAAAGCTTGAGAAAACATTTTATTGTCAAGGCCACAGGGAAACAGACATTTATACATTCCTGGTGGGAGTACAACATGGAATCCTGGAAATTAGGTAACACAACAAAAATCCATACATAAGGAGATTCATCCTTGATCCAGCAATCTCATTTATAGCAACTTATCCTGAAGATACACATGCATGAGATTATTATTTCCACCTTATTTATAGTAGTACAATAAGAGAAATAATGCTTATGCATAGGAAATTGGATAAACTATGCTATATCCAATCAGTCAAGTACTGTACAATTATAAAAAAAGGACATATTTATTTTAAAAAGGACAAATATTTTTGTGACTTGATTAATAATGCTTTCTAGGATATATTGTTAAGTTAATAAAAGCAAGGTGAAAAAGAAGGTAGATAGTATGCTACCTTTTGTGTGCATATATACATACATACATTTGCAAACACACTATATCTGCTTCCAGAAAAAATAAATGAGAAAATGAAGTTGACTACTTTCTGAAGTATGATAACAAAGAAATGGAAGAAATAGGGAAGCAAATGAGATTTTTCAGAGAATACCTTTTAGATTATTTTTTTAATCGTGTTGAAATTTTATGTATTCAGAAAATAAAATG